GTACAATCCAGAGTCTAAGACAATTTCGTGTGAAAAAGAATCAGCTTGTCCAATGTTAGGAACACAACCGAGTCTTGAGATTTTATATCCATAGCTGGTGCAGGATTGGTTAGTGTTTTGAAAAACCTAAAGGGAAAAACGAAACTGTCTTCTTTGACAATGCACTTGCAAGACCAGACAGATTCCCTGCAATGTGTTGTAAGCCTGATTGTTCCGTGTTTAACAGACCGTGTCTGCAATAGTTGATCGGTTAGTACGTCAGACTATTTTTTCTTTCTTTTGGCACCAAGCCACTTTATGTTTGAGGAGAAAATTGAAAGCTGTGAAACAAAACCTACAGGAAACCTAACAGGACAACTGAGAGAGAGAAAAAAATCAGACATTATTTAAGAAAGCCCTTTTAGGACATTCTTGTGTACATAATTCACCACAAAAAAGGCTTCAATATCATACAAAGACTTCATGTAAATTAATATATTCTGGATCTGAAAAGAAACTCAATGGTAAGAGAACAGACTGTTTAAAGAGATGTTCTTGAGTAGGGCTGGGCGATATGGCCTAAAATCCATATCATGGTATAATTTGAAGCATGTGGGGTAACGATATATATCGTGATATATTCTTTTCTTCTGTATAACGTATTTTGCACACTGTAAGGCACACTTAAAATCTTTTAATTCTCTCAAAAATCAACAGTGTGCCTTATGTATGAATTCTGGTTGTGCTTACTGACCTCGAACCGATGTGATGTAGTACATGGCGTGCAGAAATCTGTCAAAAATGTTTTAGTACGACTTTGGTAAGCTATGAAGGCACCGCCTGATGGCTTGGCGGAGCGGTATGGCTGCCGTAGTCAGGAGCCTTGCGGGGTAATCTGGGTTCAAAACTCCGTTTGCTTCAGGTCCTAAAGTCAAAGGAACACTGCGGCATTACTGAGAGTTAAAAACTGCCTAAATTCTTTCATCTTTAATAAAATGATTAGCGTTGCTGCTTTACCAGGTGTAACAATTAAGTTTAACATTCAGCCATCCATGAAAACAGATTTAATAAATTCAACGGAGTTAGAAGTTAGCAGGAAATTAGCTCGCTAGTTTCCACCTAAACATGATATGCCATGTTCTGACTAAGAGATTTCTGAAAAAATTAAAACGTACAGCAGTGACTTTTGTAGGGTTACTGAAGTCGGACTAGCTGGTATATAATGATGTCCTACGTGATCACTAGCAAAACAGCTACGTTAGCATAACATTAGCACAGTGAAGCTGACGGATGAACGCTAACCTTTTTCCACATGATAAAAGTTAACGTGAGGGTTTCTGGTGGTTAGGGACAAATGCAATTAATAATAATAATAATAATAATAATAATAATAATAATAATAGATTTTATATATGAGCGCCTTTCAAGTCACCCAAGGACACTTTGCAATAGGATAAAACACTTAGTAAAACAATGGCAAAATAAGAACAATAAAACAAAAGCACAAGATAAAATTAACAAACAGTAGATTCACAGGATACTTGAGGGTGCATGGGAGTTTGCCCAACCAGTCTACATGTGTTTTGTGGACTTGGAGAAGGCATTCGACCGTGTCCCTCGGGGTGTCCTGTGGGAGGTGTTGCGGGAATATGGGGTGTCTGGCCCATTGCTACGGGCCATTCGATCACTATACAACCGTTGCAAGAGCTTGGTTCGCATTGCCGGCAATAATCATTGTTGACTCTTGACTCGTTCCCGGTGGGTGATGGGCTTCGCCAGGGCTGCCCTTTGTCTCCGGTTCTGTTCATAATTTTTATGGACAGGATTTCTAGGCGCAGCCAAGTGGCGGAGGGCTTTCGCTTTGGTGGCCTCAGAATCTCATCTCTGATTTTTGCAGATGATGTGGTTCTGTTGGCTTCATCGGGTGAAGGCCTCCAGCTCGCACTGGAACGGTTTGCAGCCGAGTGTGAAGCAGCGGGAATGAGGATCAGCACTTCCAAATCCGAGGCCATGGTTCTCAGCCGGAAAAGGGTGGAGTGCCCACTCCGGGTCGGGGATGAGTTCCTGCCCCAAGTGGAGGAGTTCAAGTATCTCGGGGTCTTGTTCGCGAGTGATGGGAGAAGGGAGGCGGAGATCGACAGACGGATTGGGGCTGCAGCTGCAGTAATGCGGACGTTGCACCGGTCCATCGTGGTGAAGAGGGAGCTGAGTGTAAAAGCGAAGCTCTCAATTTACCGGTCGATCTACGTCCCTACCCTCACCTATGGCCACGAGCTGTGGGTAGTGACCGAAAGAACGAGATCGCGGATACAAGCGGCAGAAATGAGCTTCCTCCGAAGGGTGGCTGGCCTCTCCCTTAGAGATAGGGTGAGAGGTTCGGCCATCCGGGAGGGGCTCAGAGTAGAGCAGCTGCTGCTCCACATCGAAAGGAGCCAGCTGAGGTGGTTCGGGCATCTGACAAGGATGCCCCCTGGGCGCCTCCTGGGTGAGGTGTTCCAGGCATGTCCCACCGGGAGGAGGCCCCGGGGCAGACCCAGGACACGCTGGAGAGATTATATCTCTCGGCTGGCCTGGGAACGCCTTGGTATTCCCTCGGACAAGCTGGAGGAGGTGGCTGGGGAGAGGGAGGTCTGGGCCTCTTTGCTTAGGCTGCTGCCCCCGCGACCCGACCCCGGACAAAGGGGATGACGATGGATGGATGGATGGATTCACAGTGAATATGCAGATTTGAAAAGATGAGTTGGGATTTAAACTGGGGGAGAGAACCAATGTTTCTTATTTCTGGGGGCAGAGAGTTCCACAGCCTGGGAGCAGAGCAGCTGACAGCTCTGCTTCCCATAGTGGTGAGGCGGAAGGAAGGTACAGTAAGCTGGATAGAAGAAGAAGATCGAAGTGAACGGGCAAAACAGGTAGTGGTTAACAGGTCAGAAAGGTAAGGAGGAGCGAGGTTATGAATGGCCTTGAAGGTGAGCAGAAGAAGTTTGAATATTATCCGGAATTTCACAGGGAGCCAGTGAAGTTCCTGAAGAACAGGGGTGATGTGCTGGTAGGAGGGGGTTCTGGTGATAATGAGAGCAGCAGAGTTCTGAACCAGTTGAAGCTTATGGAGGGATTTTTGGGGGAGACCATGCAAAAGAGAATTGCACTAGTCAATACGGGAGGTAACAAGACTGTGGACAAGAATGGAGACTGGGTGGAAAGAGAAGGAAGTAATCTGTTAATGTTGCGTAGATGGAAGTAGGCAGAACAGGTGAGATTATTGATGTGAGATTTATAGGAAAGTGAACTGTCTAGGATGACACCAAGGCTCTTAACCTGAGGAGAAGGGAAAACTGTGGAGTTATCGATGGTGAGTGAGAAATGGTTCGCCTTCAAAAGGTTGGATTCAGTTTACTGCACACAAAAGCAAACAGTTTACTTCTCACACAACAAGTTTTAAACATGTACATTTTATGTCTCTATGTCTCATATGAAATACTTACACTTGTATTTAAATTATGTATCTTTGTATTTATTTGATAATATCACAAATTAATTTCCATATACTTCAAATACGTGATGAAATTATCTTTGCACATACACACAAAAGCACACATGTTTTTCCCATTGTTTTCCATGCTGACTTCCTGTTTTCAGTGAACTTCAGACAGTTCAAGGAGACATCCTGGCTCATAAGGCCATGACAAAAAGTGAGGATCACTGTTTTGGCAGTTAAACAAAACATTTTGTTGGAAAACTGATTTTGCCGCCACCATGGTGAGGGGGACGTAACAGTATAGAAACCAGTAGGCTCAGTCTTGGGCGTGGATACATGAGTGTGGAGTGCCAGCAATATATTTGAAGTCAGCGAGCACACTGCCCAGGTGTTCTAAGTTGGCAGAGATCCGAAAATTACCCTGAAACACATACAGAGGAAAAACTTAAAGTAAAGTGTAACCCTCAATACATTTATATAACCAAAATACATCCAACACAACTCAGGTTTGACTCCTGCACCCGAACAATGGCAGTTTGACTTCCAACAAGGAAATTCCTCTGAGAATACATTCATGTTAAACACCACAACTTGCTTTATATACATTCCACTTTGTGGAAGAAGATGAAAGGGGACATATAAACCTCCTGTCAATGTGACTAAAACATGTTCCTCCCCTTTTACATCATCAGTGAATGAAAATTAGTGCTACACTATACATGGGTATACATTCATTAAAATGTGCCTGGTATGGGTCTAAGGTTTCTTGTAATTGTGTGTTATGTTTTGAACCTAAAATAAGTCTATATATAAATTTATGTCACGTCATGGCTATTGACTGTGCAAAAAATGCTGAAAATGTGAACTGTATTTTTTTAAATCAAACTGCAAAACTGCAGCAGTAATTTGCCAATTAGAAATATCCTTAAGAATAGAATAGAATCATTTGTGTTTGTTGTCTTGTTTATTGTCTAGCTTGTCACAAATAATCATACTGTGTTTATCATAACTTTTTTCCAAATTATTTATACATGGTTTATTTTTTCCTCTCATGTTCTCCATATAATAAAAACAACCTTTGTGCAAGAATGGCATATCGCAATTCTAGAATCAAGGCATTATTTATTATGTGCAATAGTAGGCTTAAAATGTTTCCATGAAAGCTGTATAATTTCATGTTCAGGTTCCGTTTACTATACGTAGCCTAACGCAGGTCTATGACAGTATGACACACAAGCGGTCAGAGACTTTTAGAATAAATGTAATATAAAACAGCTGAGGACAGCCAGTGAACTTTAGAGACCCAACAAAATATAATTGGTAATGTTAGTTCCTGTCGATAATGTGCACGGGAAAAAGAAAGAGGAAAATTTTGCTTAATTTAAATGATTCCATCGTTTTTATTCCATAACTTTCCATATTCCCGCTCTACTGCCAAACTGGGATTTTACAGTGTTTTACAGTAAGTCTACTCCCCCCTCCCCCGGTTTTATACACACGGTTCTGTCGTTCCAAAGAAAAGTCAGTGAGTCTGACTTCCCCTAAATGAGTGGTGCATTCTGCAACAGCTTTCACATGAGAAAGACTGTGAGACACACTGTGCGAATGGATTTAGGCTGGAGCCGAGCAGACCGCTTTCTATGAAAATACGCGAACTAAATTGTCTCGTAATGGATTCAAACAGGTAACCTGGATAACGTAAATTTGACTTTCTTCACGAATCCGTCAGGTTTGTTAAAAGAAAATATCTTATTTTCGTTTTTTCTTCCAGACAAGTTTGCAACTGGATCTCTTATACCGTGCTTCTTTTTGGATACATGACTGCGGCCATACTTCCTGGTATGTGGCTTACAGTAAAATAATAATAAAAATATTAATTCTGTAATTAGATAGTCTGTGTGAGCCCTGTGTGAGCACTCATAATTTACGTATTTGTATAATATGTTTCGTTCAGGAAAGAATCCGACAATTGGCTTCAACCTTGAATGTACGTACGACTTTGACCAGGTGATGCAGTGTGAGCTGGAGCTGCAAAACTGCACTGAGTACAGCATGACTCTCCAAGTCCAAGACAAGTATGCCCGGTGTGTTTTTAATCGATGATTTTAGTATTACACCGATCAGCCATGGCATTAAAACCAACAGGCTTACTTTGACTGGGTGCTGCTTTTGCTACTAGCTCCTACGTGTCCGGGTATAGACACGATTTATCTGAGGGTATCTGCCCTGTGTGGGGGTTCCTGGGTCGGCTGTATGTGGACCGGACTTGCATTGGCACACTGAGTGGATTCTCAGTTAGATTGGGATGTTTGGATTTTTGCTCTTCGTTGTGTTCCTCATTCACTTTCTAGACAGTTCTTGTTGTGTGGAAGTTCTCAGTGGAAATCCCAGCAAACTCGGTATTACTGGTGCTGAGAGGTAAAATGAATGTGCACAGAGTTATATCAAACTTTAAAAAAAAAAAACCCAGCAAAAAACTCAAATAATAAGCTATGGCAGTTAAATGGTTGGTACATTCTTGTGAAGAACAAACATATTGTACTTTTACAATATGTACAGTTTTCCCAAATTTGTTTTTGTTTCTTTAGGCTGTTTTTTTAATCAGTAAGTGTTAAACAGTTGACAAATTTCAGCTGCTTTTCTGTCTGTTAATCTTCTTTGGGATTCAGGGGAATATGTCAATAGATGAGCACTGTTAATTTTATTCCATAATTTTTGTGCTGTTTAAACAATGACTTTAGTAAACTAGAGTAACACTGCCTCAGTATGTGGGACATGTGTACAAAGGATAAAAATGTGGCGTTGTTGTAGCAGGAGGTTAGCATGATCCAAAGATGATTGGTTGGGTGTAACTGGAATCCAAGGTTAATCATTAACACTGCATTTAATGTGTAGTCATTACTTGTTACTTTCTTCATGTGTCTGTGGTTTCAATGCTGTGGCTGACAGTGTAAATATGCTGTGGCATATGAATGTTTAATTAAAGTGTTTTGCATATTATCCTTTGCTCCCCAGTGAGGAGAACTGCGCTGTACAACAGTGTGGCATTGGAAAGTGTTGTTGCTCCTTCAAACTGATGCGTGTGTTAGGAGAAGCTCTCACAGCAAAAGTCTGGAAAGATGGCAACATCATGGAGTCAAAAGCTATCAATGTCATGGAGAGCAGTACGTTGGCTTCTTTCAAATGATTTCCCATAACTCTGCATCTGCCAGAAAGACTCTCTGGAGGTGAACAAATATTCACTTTAATGCTCTTTTGTTTCTGTACAGTAAAACCAAAAACTCCAACAATCAAATCAGTCAATGAACTCGAAGGGAATTTTGAAGTCAAGTGGACGTCAAACATGAAGGGATTTTTAAACAATGAAATGACTGCTGTGGTGACTTACTATAAAAAAGGAGAAACAGAAAAGGTAGGAACAATGCCACAGTAACTATTTGTTCTGGAGATGTAAACATGGGCAACTGTCAAACTCATTTTTGTTCCTCCATACTAGACATCTGGACCTTTCAAACCAGCCACAGTTGATGAACTAAATTACTATGTAATAAAAGGTCAAGACCTGGATCCCAGTTCAGCATATGTGGTCAGTGTGAAAAGCTTCTTAAGTCTGAGTGGCAAGTTCAGTGACAGTAGCAAAGAGTGGGAATTTCAAACAGGTAAGAATTGTCTTTATTCAGTTGTAAAACAGTAAATTCTGTATTTCTTAACTGTGTTAAGAGGCCCTAATTATATTTCTATTACACATTCAGCTGAAAAATAATATGAGTTTTAATATTAACTCTCAAACTAACTATCATGTAAGCTGTTGTCTCCAGAGAAAAGTGGAGATGAGCTCCTTAGATTGTAACATTAAAAGTGAATTTAGAAGTGTATTCGAATATAAAGGATCTGTGAAAATCTCAAAAGCAAAGAGATAAAAAGTTTGTATGTATAATATGTACAGTTTTAATTTCTCTTTTTTAATCTCCTGAACAACAAAGCAACAATAAATCAATAAATTATGATGCTATGTCCTGTTTTAAGTAGTATCGATCTGAACATTCATACCGTGTATAGCATAAGATAGAGTATGAAGACTTTTTAAAAAATGTATATTTTATCTTTGTAACTTACATTTTGGAGGCTGCATAGAGTACAAACAAATGCAATGGGACACTATCATTGGTATAAAAAAATAACTAAAAACTATCCTTTTGAGGCAATATGAAGAAACTCTTTAGGAATTATATAGCATTAAGTAGTGACACACGGTGTCATCAACACAACACATCTAACACAAAATACAAGTCTGTTAGCAGACATATAAGCATATGCTATGCACTTTATCCTACTATATCTCTCTGCTGTATAACATCTGTGCAAGATTGCAATTATTAAACTTGTTTCATACATGTTATTTCACAGGTCCTTCCCGCCACAACCTGATGTTGGTTATCATTATCACCCTCAGCATTGCTGCAGTCATCCTCAGCGTTGCTAAATATGGCTGTTATGCAAAGTGAGTCATGTAGATCAACAAGTTTTTCTTGTGCCTCGGTCAGTGCATATTTCCCCTAAATACTTGAATGGGGTCGTCATTTTTTTCCTACATTTCCTTTTAGGTTGAGAAAAATCTATTACGATGCAGTTCCGAAAACTACAAATCCCTCTTTTCTTAATATTAATCCAAGTGAGCAGAAGGTGAGACAGGTGAGGTCAAAAACTTCTAACTTCAATGGTTGCATTCATTTACTTTATTATTAATAATTATTAACAATTTAAAATCTGTTGGTGATTTTCATTAAATTATTATATTGCATCACTTTTTCATCATTTGCCATAATAGATTTACATTTGGTCTATAAATAGCAGTTTTATCAGGACTGTTATAGTCAAAAGAAAATCTAATGCATCTAGTGGACAACATTTGGCGATTAGAATAGAAATGTATCTGCTTAGCCATCAGCTGATGAAGACTGGCACTAAAAATCAGCTGATCTGCAGGGACTACAGCTGAACTTGAATTTGTGGCCTGTCTATATTTAATTTTTCATTGTTCATGGCATAATCAGCCCTGGAGTCAAATGGCCTTCACAAACGCTAGGATTTAACAGAAATTGTGCTGAAATCAGAATCCAGCTCTGCATTTTTTAACAGGTTTTTTCTACGGTAAAATCAGTCACTAAATCCTATTGTCCCAAAAACAGGGCAAACTAAGTCAACCAGAAATGATATCTTAAGGAATACAAAAGGCACTTTGAGAAACATACTAAAGTTCCAAAAGATTTTCCTCCTTCAACTGAAATGTTTAAGACTGTTTATTCATTTTGCTTAGGTCTTGAAACTTGAACCCATCATTACCATCCCCATACATGTTGAGACCCTTATTCCAGATGACAGTGAACTGGGGTTAGTATTGACTGCATTGATGCATCACCATTACAAGACATTTCCTTGAGGATTTATATCTGGCAGTTTCAGTAATTGTTTCTTTGTATTCAGGTCGAAGATGTCATTGACAGACACAAGCTGTGGAAGCCTTCAGCAAAGCAGTGGGGTCCGCACGGGTTCCTCTGATCTAAGTTATACAAATACTGAAAGCCCCGTTGCTGTGAATGGAGAATCTTCTATTGCTAAAGCTGCTAAGAATGAGCTCTGTAAAATATTCCCAAATATTTGCCCAATATTACCAGTGAGCACCAGTCTCCCAACACAGTCAAACAATACACAAGGAAGTGAATTATTCTCTGAAACAAGTTCTGGAGTATCTGCATTTGAAAATAAAACCTATCACTTCCTTCTTCCTGGCTGTTTACATCAGACTATGACAGACAACTTAAACACCCAGGGGACGGCTGAAATGCTTTGTGACTCTATTTACCATCCCAGTAACAGTGGAATGGAGAGATGTTCGGATCACCAGATACCAGCTTGTCAAGTTCCTGCACAACTAAGTGGTATTTCACCATCAGTGGTTTCACCTCTTCTATCAACAGACATGTCCTATCATGAGGTCCCCATATGTGTGCCGATAGGGTCACACAGTTTTCTTGCAGTGGATGACGACTATCAGGAAATTCCAAGTTTGGTGAGGCAGCCTGATGCTTCGCTTTTAGAGCACAGAAATACTGAGCATAAGGAACATTTGGACAAGTCGGAGGAGGAGTCACTTAGAAACAGCCCTGAAAGCATCTTAAGCCCAGTTGTTCCAGTTCAGGATGGGCAGCGTGTCTCTGAACTCCAAGTACCCACCTGTTTTATATCTACTAACTGCTCTGTACCAATAATCACAGAGAGTGGCTATCAAAGTGTGTAGTGTTGTGACCATAACTTCAGTTTTAGCTCTTTCTAATACATGGATGCATGAAAATGATCTCATGATAACTGTTTCTTATAGAATATGATCCTGCTGTCATTTGGAAATTATTCTATATAGTAAGTCAAAGATTTGCACTGTGAGAACACTTAGGTTCAGCATATATAAAATGTACTCATAACAAACATTATTTTATTTATTTAACTTTGATTTCCCCAGTTTAGTCCCATTGAGACCAAAGATCTCTTTTACAAGGGAGACCCGACCCTTAAAGGTCTGACTGAATTTAACTTGACCGGTGGATTTGAGGGGTGAGCACAGGAGGTAGAGCAGGTCATCTACTAATGTAAGGTTACTTCAGTCTGCATGCCAATATATCCTTGGGCAAGTTTCTGAATGCATTCACCAGAGGGTAAATCTTAATCCTAATCCTATTTTGACTTTTGCGATAAATCTACTTCATACATGACGCTGGAACTAGAAACTCCATTTATCCCTACACCACAGCCTTCCACACCATTCAGGTCGTTGTGGTACGTGTCGACTGAACAGTGGTTATTTTTCTCGGGAAGTGCACGTCAGTTACGTAGAAGGTTGTTGTGTAGGTTTGAAATGGGCTTTCAGTTATGGTGTACGATCTCAAATAAAAACAAACTGTGATATTTAGGGTATAAGTGATGTACATGTTGCCATTAGAATGCTTTTCAATCAAAGTGAATTACCCTGGGCTCTGTTTGTTTCAAAGAAACATTGCTGAAGAATTTTCAGATATTATATGGCTATAATTATAACCGTAATTTATTAAGTGTTTGTTTTCAACAAATGTTTAGGAAAAAAGTTTTATTTGTCATGTTGTTTTTATATCCAAAATTCAAGTTGTTTTCTTTTGTTTTGTTTTCACTTAATTGTAAATAACACATTTGAAATGAGGCAGCACAGTGGTTCGCATTGTTGCCGCACAGTAAAAAGGTCCTGAGTTTAATACCACCATCAGGCCAGGGTCTTTCTGTGTGGAGTTTGCATGTTCTCCCCATGTTTGCGTGGGTTCTTCCTCCCACAGGCCAAAGACATGCAGTTAGTGGGTTATGTTAATTGGAAACTCGAAATTGCCCATAGGTGTGAATGTGAGTGCGAATGGATGTCTGTCTCTGTGTGCCAGACTGGCGACCTGTCCAGGGTGTAGCCCTATGAGAGTTGAGATAGGCTCCAGCACCCCCCGTGACCCTGAAAAGGATAAGCGGAAGCGAATGGATGGATGGACATTTGAAATGTATTACTGGAATGTATAAACACTGATAAGACCAAAATATGTTAAATTTGTCATGAATGCTAAAACAAGTGAGCTTTAATCTCTTTGCTTTTCCCGAGTTAAAAAAATGTTCAAAGTGAATTACTCTGAGATGTGTTTGCTTCAAATAGACATTACTGAAGACTTTCAATGATCTACAGTATGCTGTACTTTGTACAGTCTGCACAAACAATTTAATATTAAATTCTTCAAGCATCATTGCATATCATTTGTAACTTGGATCCCAATGCGGTGACCCATTTTAGAGATTGGTACTTCAAATTAAAGTCGTTAATAAATGAGAGCACAAAACCGATAGCAAAAAAAAACCCACAAAGAAGAATGTAATCCTGTTAATGACAATGGAGGGGGTCACATATCTGAAAGCTTGACTAATGTGCATATAGTAATGATAAACACAATACATTTACAGCTACACTGAGTCATACAAATAGTGCTGCATTTATTATAAACTTTTCATTACTTAGTCAATACTCCTGATAATGTAGCTCTTTTCTGTTCACGTTGTTTAATTCAGATGTTTAATGTTGGCTTCCTTCAGTGTTGCTTGGAGGCTGGATGTCTATCAGGGTCCGCCTCCATATTGTGTTCTCAGCATGAGCAGACACTGTCGCCTCTGCACTGTGAATTTGCATGAAATCACATGACCAAAACAGACTCACCTGCAGTGGGTGAGCATGCAAACACGCATTAGATATTCATTGTTTCATTTATTTAATTGATTGTTTGTGTCTGGCCCAGAGTTTTTCCTATTGGTATGGCGTAATATGTAGAAAATGTACTAATAATAAACAATAGCATATAATAGTAGATTTAGTAGGGGTTAACTAGTCTCATAACTGACTCATAAATCACTTACAAATTGATCACAAGCCAGAATAACTTTATGTTACTGTTACATGCTGAAGGAAGACAAGGTTCATCCAGGTGCAAATTGAGGCTTATTGCTCTGAAACACAGCAAAACAGCAGTTAGGTGTTACTGAAGGCTTCCATTACCAAAACCGGCCTGCGTTACTTTTGTAAGGGATTTGCCAGTCACTCATTTGTTTGAGTCGCTACTGCCACCTACTGGCGAAACTCAGTATCGCCTTAGAGGCACCGGCACAAGAACAAAAAATTGAGGTGGGCTGGGGGCAAGATCAGTATTACAGTATTACACTTTGAACACTGACTTCATTGTAATACGTTTATAAAAAGATGTCTATTTTTTTTTACATCATAGTGTTGAGTATATGCAGAGTTTGATGGCTGTAGAAGGCTCTTAATAAAGAATAAACAGGAGTCTATGACTTAGTGTGATGAGAAATTCAAATCAAGAGCACATAAGGACTTTGAACTAGAGTCAATTTTGATTTCATAATTAACTTTTTACAATGAAAAATATTTATATTATTCTAGATTGCCAAGTGAAATTTTGAGCATTGATGTCATAGAAAATCCAGATTACACTTTTTAGGATTTTTCAAACTTTAGGAGGGATGTTAGATATTTACAATGGAATAACTATCATTCTAAATACATTATTTATTCCATTGTCTTTTTAAATTAATCATTGTATATTTGCTGATGAGCTGATTGCCAATAGTTGTTCAGAACAGGTCAACCTCCAGCCTCACACAGCACAGAGGAAAATGCAATCACCTGCATGCTTCACAGTGGAAACCATGCATGTAGAGACCTGGCTTCACCTTTTCTGTGTCATGCGAAGGCAAGGCGGGTGGATTCATCAGACCAAAGCACAGATTTCCATTAGTCTAATATCCATTCCTTGGTTTCTTGGCTCAAACCAATCTCTTCTGCTTGTTGCTTTTTCTTAGTAGTCGCTAGTAATCTTTAGTAGTCCCTAGTAATCTGTTAATTTTGGGAATGATTTCTGAGGCTGGTGACTCTTCCTTTCCTGGGGCGGTCCTCATGTGAGCCAATATTGCCATTTGTTGGTTTTGCAACTGCACTTGGGGACACATTCAAAGTGTTAGCAGTTTTCTGGACTGACTGACCTCCAGTTCTTCAAATAATGATGAACTGTCATTTGTCTTACTTAGCTTGTTGGTTCTTGTCATAATATGAATCCTAACAGTTGTCAAATAGGGCTGTCAGCTGTGTTACCAACCTGACTTCTGCATAGCACAACTGATGGCCTCAACCCCATTAAAAGGCAAGAAATTCAACCAATGACAAGCCACACCTGTAGAGCGAAAATCATTTCAGGTGACTACATCATGAATCTCACTGAGAGAAGGCCAAGGGTTTGCAGCACTGCCAACAAAGTAAAAGGTTTTATGTATGTATGTATCTACAATGTAGAAAGTTAAAAAATAAAATAAAATAAAAAACATCAAATGAGAACGTGTGTCCAAACTTCTGACTGGTAGTGTATATTCTTTATATATATTACAGCACCGGATCCCCGCAAGGCTGCGTTCCCAGCCCCCTACTGTACAACCCTGTACATATATGACTGTACATCAACCCACCCAACCAACGTCATCGTCAAGTATGTAAGTACGTATTTAACCAATGTTGGTTTTTCTTTCTGGCCGTTGGGCATAGCAGGAAAATAACATCAACCTTAATGCAGTTGAGTTACATGTCAGCCGTTTTGTGCTGCAATACAGTAACAGTTATATCAGTAAAGTTTTACTGATTGTATGTGTGTGAAAGAAAACCAACAGAACAAATCACAAACCAAAACTGAGCTCCTTTAAATTCCCCTCCTGACTTTGTGGGACCTTTTTTTATATATTTTTCAGACTACACTTCAAAAACAGTAACACATTCACAGTGTAACAACAGATAATATAATATATGAAAAGGGGAGAAAATAACTGAATCTTTTTTTCATTTTTTTGTACAGCAGCAACCACAGCCTAGCATGATTATGCCACATGAACAAGATCTACAACTCTTGCAACACTTCCTTTCTCAACATTTACCAACTATCTAAATTGTGAGTGGAAGTTTACAACACGTCTTCTCGTCACTTTTTATGCTGTGTATGCTGTATATCTCTGCTGCAAGATACAACAAGATATCACAGCCTTATTATTTTATGCATAAAGTATGCCAATAAAAAAACTACTCACTGGATATAAGTGTTTTGGGGACAAAATTTGAGCAGCAAGGCTGAGATGGTTTAGGCATGTGTAGGGGAGCGATAGTGAGAGGAGGGATATATTGGACAAAGAATGTGTAATATGGAGAAGAAAAGTGAGAGACAACAAAGAAAATCACAAGATGCAGTAAATAAGGACATGCAGAAGGCCAGTGTAAGCAAAGAGTATTCAAGTGACAGCAGGAGAGCCATTGTGCCCCCTTCAGGAGGCACCCAAGAGAAGAATATTAAATGTCAATGATGGGTTTCTTTCTAAACATTTACATGTCAATGTAAATGTCAATGTTGGTAATACGTTACCAACAAAGGTGATAATACCTTTGTTGAAGTATAAAATAGATTTTATTAAGAGTATTTAATACGGCTGTGTCAGATAATGCATACCCAATTTCTCACTCTACACAAACACTGGGATTTCAGTAGCTTTTTTGAGTCAACTCCCCCTCGACTACTGTTGTGGGCTTTATGCGCACGGTTCTGTCTTCCTTAAGAAATGTGAGTAGGACTGACTTCCCCTAATGTGGCGCAATATATCCTTCTATTGCTCCCATAACAGGAAGACTGTGAGACTTGGGCATAAGCAGCGTTCGCATTCCCAGAATATAGACCATAGCTGAGTGTTTTCCATAGCAGAAAAAAATGCACTCAGTTGTTTCATAATGGATTCAAATAGGTAAACTGAATAACTTGAAGTTGTCTTTCTTACTGAATCTGCCATGTTTGTTGAAAGAAAAGATCTCCTTTTGCGTTTCCCCTTTTCTTTTCCAGACGAGTCTGCAACAGGATCTCTGTTATCTTGCTTCTTTTAGCACACATCGCGACTGCAGCAGTTCTCTCTGGTATGTACATTACAGTGAACAAATGCTGTAATGGATTATTCTATGTGTGAATTCTTAATGAGCCACAATTTATAATTTCGTGCAGGAAATATTCAGACAACTAACTCCAGTCTTGACTGTACCAACGACTTTGACGAGCTGATGTTGTGTCAGCTGGAGCTACAAAACTGCACTGAGTACAGTTTGACTCTCCAGAGTGTAGACAGGTATGACTGAGATGTTTTTTTGGGGGTTTTTTTTTTAGTCTTATTATAACACTGGCTTTTGTAAGCTAGAGGAAATAAAAATGTGGGATGGAGGCATTGGGTGAAAATGCTGTACATAAAAACGTAAGATTAGCTTAATCAGCACAAGATGTCATAAATATCATTTGTTTTAAACATTTTGTATTATTATTTCCCACAGTAAGAAGAATTGCTTTTTACAACAGTGTGGCACTGGAAAATGTTGTTGCTCCTTTTGACTGATACTCGTGCTTGGAGAAACTCACACAGCAACTATCTGGAAAGATGGCAACGTCATGGAGTCAAAGGTTTTCAGTGTCACAGAGAGCAATATGTTGACTTCTTTTAATTCAATTCAATTCAATTT